GGTGGTGCTTGGGGGGGTCGCAGACGCGGCCCCGGCGGCACGGTATGCCTTGCGAGCGGACAGCGTGTCGCTCCGCTCCGCGGGGCGGGAGGCCCGGGAATGCTGGGGATGCTGAGGCCTCGGGGCCCGCGGGACTGGATAGCGTGTCGCTCCGAAGCGTGCTGGGCCTCAACGGGCGGAACGACACGCTATCCAACAGCTGCTGACCGTGGGGGTCGCGAAGGCCAAGCCTCCCTGGCGATTTCCTACCGGGGAGCTGGGGCCCCTAAGACCAGGACGCTGCTCACCGAGATCTGGAAGATTCCATCTGGGAGGAGCAGAGAACGGAGAGGGTCTCGACCCCCACGTCTGCAGCTTTCTCGGGCCCGCCCCTGTCCTGGAGTATCAAACGGATCCCTCTGTCCAGGGGGCTTCGCGGGAAGCTGGGAACACACATGGCGCTGTGGAAGTCGATCAAGGAGCGGAAGCATGCTGCCACATGATTTAAACATGTTTTAACATGCTAAGCACATGCTTGAAACATGTTTATATCATGCTTTACACATGTATAACGCATGTTTGATTCAATATCAGACATATGACATCTCGACTTTTAGAGACACGGCCCCCCGACCTCCCGACCACTTTCCCGGGACCGCTTTTCCACCCCGAATCGTTTTTTGACGCTCCCGAGGCCCGGCGAGGGCCTCGGGAGGCCGAAAATATGGAAAAACCTCCGTCTCGATTTTTTTTGTCAAGACGTCTGATGTCTGGGATGATAGGGTTGTTAGTGTCCACTTGCCGTCGCCCGGACGTCCATTTCCCATGCAGTGTCGGTTTCGTGCGTTTTTTCTTGCTCGATGGTCCAGGATGGTCCTCGATGGTCTTCGCCGAAACAAAATGCACACGTCCGAGCGATGCCAAGGTCCGCTGTCGTGGCATCCACGAGCGTGGCGGGCTCCGCGCGCGGAGCCTCCCGGAGGACGCGCGCCAGCGGCAGGCGCGGGAGGGCCGGGCGTGCCCAGCACGCGGCGGAGGGCCAAGGCGGCGGAGAGGAGGCCCTGCCAGGCGCGAGCAGCCGGTCCAGAAGGGGCCCCGGGGCACGCAAGGAAATGCACAGAGATGACAGGATGCCCCCCCTCCCGCCCCAAGGGGCCCCCAAGAGCCCCCCAAGAGGCCCCAGGGGAGCCCAAGACGCCGCAAAGGAGCCACAAGACGCTCCCAAGAAACCCAAGAAGCCCCCAAGAGGCCCCCAAGAAGGCCCCAAGAGGCCCCAAATAGCGCTCCAGGGCCGGCGGAATGAGCGAAGCGATCAACAATAAACGCACAGAAACAATAGGATTCCCCAGATTTTCTCATATTTTCTGGGTGTTTGTCTGCCCCCCCCACTTCCCATGATTTCCCATATGTTCTGGGGAATCGACGATTAATTGTGTCTGTGTGCGTCTTTCCTCCTGAAGTCCTCTCGCCCAGGCCTGCCACATCAAGTAAGGAAACGAAGCCTATATGTAAGTCGGGCGTGTCCCCCTACAGGGGGATTCCAAGCGAAAAGTTGTGCAAAAACCCCAAAGATGCTCAAGAATAATAAAAATTATCCCGGCAAAGCAACCTAACAGCGATGTGTAGAAGCATATCTGAAAGCACTCCCCTTAAGATTCAGATGAAAATCCAGTTGTCGAATTCTGCTGTTCTCGCAGTCGTAGTCGCATTCGCGATGACAGTCGCAGCGGCAACGGCAGTCGCAGTCACAGCCTCAGCCTCAGCCTGCCTCCTCCTCCTCCTCCTCCTCTTTCTCCTGCTCCTCCTCCTCCTCCTCCTCCTCCTCCTCCTCTTCCTCCTGCTCGTCCTCGTTCTCGTCCTCCTCGTCTTGCTCGTCCTCCTCCTCCTGGTGCTCTCTCCTCCTCCTCCTCCTCCTCTCTCTCCTCCTCCTCCTCCTCCTCCTCCTCCTCCTCCTCCTCCTCCTCCTCCTCCTCCTCCTGGTGGTCCTCGTTCTCCTCCTCCTGGTGCTCTCCCCCCCCCTCCTCCTCCTCGTCCTCCTCCTCCTCCTCCTCCTCGTCCTCCTCCTCCTCTCCTCCTCCTCCTCCTCCTCCTCCTCCTCCTCCTCCTGGTAGTCCTCCCCCTCCCCTCCTCCTCCTCCTCCTCCTCCTCTTCCTGGTCGTCCTCGTTCTCGTCCTCCTCGTCTTGCTCGTCCTCCTCCTCCTGGTGTTCTCTCCTCCTCCTCCTCCTCCTCCTCCTCCTCCTCCTCCTGGTGGTCCTCGTTCTCCTCCTCCTGGTACTCTCCCCCCCCCTCCTCCTCCTCCTCCTCGTCCTCGTCCTCCTCCTCCTCCTCCTCCTCTTCCTCCTCCTCCTCCTCCTCCTCCTCCTCCTCCTCCTCCTCCTGGTACTCCTCCCCCTCCCCTCCTCCTCCTCCTCCTCCTCCTCCTCTTCCTGGTCGTCCTCCTCCTCCTGGTCGTCCTCCTCCTCCTGCTCGTCCTCCTCCTCCTCCTGCTCGTCCTTCTTCTCCTGCTCCTCCTGCTCCTCGTCCTGCTCCTGCTCGTCCTCGTCCTCCTGGTCTTGCTCGTCCTCCTCCTCGTCGTGCTCTTGCCCCTGCTGAAAATGTGGCCCAGGAATGGGAGTTCTGGGAAGTCGAAGAGCACGAAGTTGCCTACAGTTGGCTACGGGCATTCAAAATGTGGCCCGGGAATGGAGTTCTGGGAACTCGAAGAGCACGAAGTGGCCTACAGTTGGCTCCGGGCATTCAAAATGTGGCCCGGGAATGGAGTTCTGGGAAACTCGAAGAGCACGAAGTGGCCTACAGTTGGCTCCGGGCATTCAAAATGTGGCCCGGGAATGGAGTTCTGGGAACTCGAAGAGCACGAAGTGTGTGACTGTTGCATCCGGTTATTCTAAAGGTGGCCCGGGAATGGCGTTCTGGGATCTCGAAGAGCACGAAGTGTGTGACTGTTGCATCCGGTTATTCAGAATGAGCCTGGGAATGGAGTTCTGGGAACTCGAAGAGCACGAAGTGTGTGACTGTTGGTGAAAAACGAGCGGGGCCCCCTGCCGCCCGGCAACTCCCAACGCCTGCCCGGACCCCCCTGTGGAGTGATCTGTGAGCTCTTTTGAATCCACTAGAAACCTATCAGTCTTCGCTGTTAGGTAATTAGCCTGGCGAAGGACCCAACCATATGTAGCTGCGAGTGCCGCACGGATATGAGACGAAGGAGGGGGCACGCAAACTAGGCCCCTCTTCTCATAGGCACCGCGCCGCTGCATGGACGAGGCACAGGGCAGCGCGGGCAGGAGGTGGCGGGCGGAGGAGGAGAGCTCACTGGGGCGAGCCAACACATCAGTATCATCATCGCATCACGAGACCTGTTACTGGGCACGCAGGAAGAGGTGACGGAGACACCGTGTAGATGTCGAAGGCAGGTCAGCAGCGGCAGAAACGAGACAGGGAAGCGCGCGGTCAAGAAGCGATGGGAAGCAGGAGGAGCGAGAGACGAGGGGAGACGTTTTTGCCTCCAGACCGACAG